AGTAGGACCATGAGTTAGTAGAGGTTTGCAAACAAGGCTTATGGGAGCTACAGGCATGATGGCTTTCTCCAGGCTTCCATGTTCGAAGGTGTCATGCAAAGTGCTGCTGTGATCCTAGTACGCTGATAGTGGCCATGGGCAGCACAAGCAACCCAAGCCCTGGCTAACATCCTCTGCTTCTGGTGTGTCCCAGTATGGTCTTCCAAATTGGTTCCACCCACAACATTAACCCATCCCAGCTGTTCAGCAGCACTTGCCCACTTGCAGGCTGTTACCACCAAATATATGTAAAGTCAGGATGGCTGCAAAGAAGTTTGGGAGCTGGGCTGGAAAGGCAGAATGTGAGAAAAGATAGAAGTAAAGGGTATGGGTTTGAGTGGTGGGTGTGCAGGGGTACAGTCAGGGCAATGAGGGCCTGGAGTGGAGGGCTGTACATTTTGAGAGAGGGTGATCCTGGAGGAGACAAGAATGAGGGTCTTGGTCTCTGTTGATTTAGACTCTTAACAATATTTGGACTGCCAGAATGTTTTCTTTAGTTTGATTTCCAAGTATACAGGAGATGTAGCCTTTAAATCCTGCTTAGGGTTCTGCATTGCAAAAAGCTAGTCTTGGATATAACTGCATTGGTGGTGCTTGGGAAGAACACATTTATGGGATCAGTGGGATGGGACATTAAAACCACTTATTTTTAGAATTAACATGTTAAACCCACATATTCATCTTGTAAGTCATAAGAATTCTGAAGGTCACTCTTTGCTCTCAAGGACACTCGCACAGGCTATACTGTCTTCCTTGGAGAAACAGGGTATATACTGGCCATTTCAACGGCTGCACTGGCAGGAAAGTCCCAAGAGACAGATAAAGCTGGGGGTAGGTGTTGAATTTTAACTCCTGGCTGCAAACTACATGTGCTAAAACAAACATACTCCATTTGATCAAAAGCAACATATGTCACTTTGAGCCATTGTTTTTTTCATTGAGAAAAAATGTCCATATCTAGCTGCAGGTGACATTTAAAAGACACTCTAGTATTTAAAAAAAAAAAAAAATATATATAAACCTTAAATGAAAATAAGGATATTTGAGACTTCTCACAAGAATTAACTAGTCCACAGTCATACCAATGTTTCTACTAACTCCTCATTTTGGGCTGTACATTTATACAGTCAAACAGAACTGCAGCCTGACCTAAGACAGATGTCACCATGTCCATGTGTAACTGAGATGAAGGCAAATTGAATGAATCTAAGGAAAGGTTTCAATTCAAAAAGTTCAGGTAAGCATTTAAGGATCTAGTTCTTTGTGGAAAAAAAAAGTTCTGCATAAAAACTCTTGTGACAGAAAAAGAGAAATTGTAATTTGGCTGAAAATGTTTTGATGTTCACATTTTTATAAGAAAAAAAAAAACAAAACCAAAAAGATTTTCCATGGGTATGTTCCATCAATAGGCAAATCATTCAGCACCTAACCCACTGTTTTGAAGCACTTTAGATAATCATAGAAAGCTTTGGGTTGGAAGGGACCTTTAGAGGTCACCTAGCCCAACCCACCGGCAGCAAGCAGGGACATCTTGAACTAGATCAGGATGATCTGACCTTGAAGGTTTCCAGGGATGGGGCCTCCACTACCTGTCTGGGCAACCCGTTCTAGTGCCTCACCACCCTCACTGGAAAAAATGTCTTCCCTATATCCAGTCTAAATCTACCCTCCTTCAGTTTAAAACCATTACTCCGTGCCCTGTCACAACAGGCCTTGCTGAAAAGATAGTCCCCATCTTTCCTATGGGCCCCCTTTCAGCACTGAAAGGCCGCACTAAGGTCTCCTCACAGCCTCCTCTTCTCCAGGCTGAACAACCACAACTCTCAGCCTGGCCTCGTAGGAGAGGGGCTCCAGCCCTCAGATCATTTTTGTGGCCCTCCTCTGGACCTGCTCCAACAGTTCGATGTCCTTCTTGGGCTGAGGGCTCCAGAGCTGGACGCAGCACTACAGCTGACATCTCACCAGAGCAGGGTAGAGTGGCAGAATCACCTCCCATCTCCCCAGTTTAGAGAGGAGGATGTTGGGGGGGACCATGTCAAAGGCTTTACAGAAGTCCAGATAGATGACATCCATTGCTTTTCCCTTGTCCACTGATGCAGTCACTCCTTCATAGAAAGTGCCTAGCTTAATCAGGCAGGACTTGCCCTTGGTGAAGCCGTGCTGGCTGTCTCGAATCACCTCCCTGCCCTCCATATGCTTTAGCATAGCTTCTAGGAGGATCTGGTCCATGACCTTCCCAGGCACACAGGTGAGGCTGACAGGTGGGTAGTTGCCAGGGTCCTCCTTTCTTCCCTTTTTAAAAATAGACACAACATTCCCCTTTTTCCAGTCAGCAGGGACTTCACCTGACTGCCATGACTTTTCAAATATCATGGAGAGTGGCTTTTTTCTCTTCATCACCAATTCCCTCAGGACTCTGGGATGCCTCTCATCAGGTCCCATAGACTTGTGTACATTCAGGTTCCTCTGGTGGTCTCAAGCCTGATCTTCCCTTACGGTGGGAGGGGCTTTACCCCCCTGGTCTCCATCTTGCCATCCATCGACTTGGAAGGGGTGAGGAGAGAGGTTGCCAGTGAAAACTGAGCCAAAAAAGTTGTTGAGTACCTCAGCCTTCTCCTTGTCTGTTGATACTAGGTCACCATTCTTGTTCATCGGGGGGCGTACACTTTCTTTAACCTTTCTTTTCTGGTTGACATACCTGTAGAAGCCCTTGTTATTCTTTGCATCCCTTGCCAAATTCGGCTCCAGCCACGTCTTGGCCTTCCTGACCCCATCCCTACACAACCAGGCAGCTTCCCTGTACTCATCCAAGGATACCTGTCCCTGCTTCCACTGTCTGTGCAGTTCCCTCTTGCTCTTTCGTTTGACCAGTATGTGTCTCGACTCAGCCATACTGGTCTCTTCCCTTCCTTGCCTGATTTCTTATACCTGGGGACTGAGAGCTCTTGCGCTCTATGGAAGGTGTCCTTAAGGATCTGCCAGCTCTGTTCCATTCCCCTGTCCCTGAGGACAATTTCCTGGGCGGCCTTTCTGACTAACTCCTTGAAGAGCTGGAAGTTTGCTTTCCTAAAATTCAGGGTCCTGACTACACCCCTCGCTTTTCCCATATCCCTCAGGAGTGTGAACTCCACCAAGTGCGATCACTGCAGCCCAGGCTGTCTCTAGGCTTGACGTCGCTGGTGAGCTCACTTGCACTGGTGACCATCAGGTCCAGTATTTCATCCCCTCGGGTAGGGGTGTCTATTACCTGGCCTAGGAAGATATCCTCAATGCATTCTAGGAATCTCCTGCATTGCCTACAGCTCACTGTGTTACTTTTCCAGCAGCAGGTGTCAGGGTGGTTGAAGTCCCCCAGTAGGCCGAGAGTCTGCCAGCACGAAGCCTCCTGGAGCTGGAGGAAGAAGGCTTCGTCAGGAGGCTCCCCTTGATCTGCTGTGCCTGTAGTAGACACCAAGCACAAGATTCCCTTTGTTGCCTCTTTCTCTGATTCTTACCCATAAGCTTTCCACCTGCTCATGGCTATTCTTCAGGGACAGCTCTTCACACTGTGTCAACTGACTTCTAGTCCTGCCCAAGGCTCAGGGTTTTGCAGAAATATTAGCTGGAAAGGACCCCTGAGTCAACTTTCTACATGAGGCAGGACTCTCCCCAGTGCTAAATCAGGCTGGCCACAGCTTTGTCTTGCTGCATCTTGAAAACCTCCAAGGAAGGAGGTTCTGGTACCTCCCTGTGTAGCCTGCTCCAGTGCTATGCTAATCTCCTAGCGAAAAAGTTTCTCCTAATGCCCAACATCAACCTCCAAAGCTGGATTTATGTTGTTGCTCCCTGTTATGACATCTGCCACTATTGGGAAGAGTTGGGCTCTATCATCTTGTAAGTTCCCATCAAATTCTTACAGGCTGCTATGAAATCACTCCTTAGTTCTCTCCTTGCCAGGCTAAACAAACCCCATTTCCTCAGCATCTCCTTGTGGGTCTCTTCCTCTCTGTACCTCACCATTTCGTAACCTTCCATTGGATACCTGTTGTTCAGCCAACTTTTGCAAAGCCACGGATACAAACTGCTGAGATGTATGGATCTACCTTCCGGTCCAGCCATTCTGCTTCATTAATTCTCAAGCATCAAGAACTATGCTTAGACCCTCACTGTGCCCTTAGGGATCCCACAAAAGCTTTGGTACAGGCAGCACATTAAGAACTAGAGCAGACTGCATCAAAAATTTCATCCAGGTCTTCCATCCGTTCCATGGTGGTTTGAAACACTCAAGATCATGCTGCTTCCAGATATTTTCTTTCCGTAACAGGGTGGTGTTCTAACTCCCACTGTGTTCATTAACAATATTATTAACTCTAAAGGACAGAGGCCTTTCGCCTCGCTGACTTCCCTGAAATGGCAGCTACACCAGGTTTTAAACTGCCACCCTCACTCCTGTCCCCACCCACGCTGTTTCTCTTGTCTGACAGCTCTCAAACACTTAATGCAAATTTTTAAAAACCTTAATCTTTGAACAAAAGCAAATGTTTATTCCAGTTCCCAGCCTCTGGGTTCAGTATTGATCCCACAGTTTAAAGCAGATTTCAAAGAACGTGTTTGGATAAGAGAGTAACGTGATAAGGAAATTGAAAAGTCCTCTGCATTGTGCTGACCCCTCCCATAGTGTGCTGCTTATGATTTGCACAACGTGCAAATGGAGGAGGAGACAATTACTGTTATTTGCTAACACCACCACCAAAAAAACCCAAACTATGTGCTAAGATCTTTCTTTTATTTCCGTACTCATCAAGACATGAAACTGACAGGTGAGCTATGTGCACCAGATGATCTTGTCAGACTGCACCATTTTGCAAGGGCAAAGTGTGTGCAGATCTCAAGGTGGGAGAGAGAGAACGCTTCTTTTTGCACAGCATGTGTCCAGTTTGCATATATGTCAAGACAATCCCAGTGGCAACAAGAGGGAGAACTTTTTACATTTAGTAACATTTATTTCTGCATTCGGTATCAAGTACGTAAATGCAAATATTCAGAATCCATAACTAAGTCCATTAGGAACTACAGAGAATGTAATACAAATTGTAATAAATTTAACATGCTGGAACTTTCCAGTTACCATACATGTAAATCAGCCTGTCAATCCCTTACGACAAAAGTACTGGGTTTTGTTTTCATTTTTTTGAGTTATACAAAACCAATTACCATAAGTACCGATTACTGTTTATTTGTGCTGGAAAACACTAAAACATCAGTCTACAATTCTATATAGTTAATAAAGATGAATCCAACCAGCAACCCAGTGACGTAGAAGCAATTTTAACTATTGCATCAGTGCGCTAAGCAGGAAAGCCCCTAGCCACATGTAACATTAAAAGTTATAGAAGCAATGCCAATAGAAGAAGGAAAAACACTAAAAAAATAAAATAAAAAAGGTCAATATTATTCAGGCTCTCACCATCATGCACTTTATAAGCAACACAAAAAAACACATCTAGTACACTTTTCTCTTTACTATACTTTAGTGCTTGACACAAGTGGTTGATTCTAAGTGCAGAAGCAGCAGGGGAAAAGCTCTGCTTCCAAATTTTATGTTTCTAAGATTATGGTGTCGAGAAAAAAAAGAACGATAGATTTGCAGTAAAGTGTAAGAACAGAGTTGTTTCACTCCAGATTCCCCCATTATTCACTACTGTAGTCGATGAATTCTTGATATCTGCTTTATTCTGCCTTTCTCTTGGCACCTGGGATTTTAGCTTGAATCCTAGAAACAAAGAAGAAAAAAAGGAGGATTATATGGTCAGGCAGCTATTCCATCCTAGCACATCCCCACTTGGAGTCTTATACAGGGGTGATCTCTTTAGCTTGCGTTCAGTGTGTTGTTGCAACAGGTGGACCAGAGTCTAATAAGAAAAAGGAGTGATGCCCATCTATGTGTTCTTACAGGCCCCTACTTGTAAATAGCCCAGGTTTTGGTGGTTCATGTACCATGGGATATGCTCAGTGATATTTTCCCCCCCTTCATTACTCCATCATGGTCTATCGTCTATTGGAAGCCAGGAATGAAGTTTAAACAAAGTATTTTCAGTACTGACTTCTAATCCTGCCCAAGGCTCAGGGTTGTATGGATCTACCTTCCGGTCCAGCCATTCTGCTTCATTAATTCTCAAGAATCAAGAACTATGCTTAGACCCTCACTGTGCCCTTAGGGATCCCACAAAAGCTTTGATACAGGTAGCATATTAGGAACTAGAGCAGACTGCATCAAAAATTTCATCCAGGTCTTCCATCCGTTCCATGGTGGTTTGAAACACTCAAGATCATGCTGCTTCCAGATATTTTCTTTCTGTAACAGGGTGGTGTTCTGACTCCCATTTTGTTCATTAATATTATTAATTCTAAAGGACAGAGGCCCTGAATGCAAAAACCCAGGCTTGAGGTGGTCAGTGGGGAAGGGAGTTAACACATTCCTTCTGGTTTGTCTTGGTCAGATGAAAGTATGGACATCAGTCCCTGGTTGGGCTACTTTGTCCACAGCTCCCCCAAACGGCAGGAGAGGGGAGAGAAGGACGTAGGGTCACAGCTCTGCCTCAGCCTACACTCAGCTGAGAAGGCCTGTGTTCCTCCAGGGATCTGCCCTCCCACACGTTCCTGAATGCCAGAAGCTGGGAAGGACATCATTCATAGGGCACGTTGTCCCCAGGACCACCCAGCTCTTAGCCACCCACAGCGCACTGCAACCTCACAGCAAGACTTCTGGTCAAGTCTGCCGCTGAACTCACTTTGCCACAACAGTGTTTATGTGGGTCCGCACCAGTCCCAAGTATTGATCAATCTGTGCCTGCAAAGAACAAAAGGAGACCAAGTCAATCAGCCATCAACAAGGCAGAACCACCCAGACAGCTGAACTACACTGCGCAGACAGACTTACCTGGTACTTGTCATATACAACGGGCAGAGTAAACATAGACACCACAGCTGAGGAGAAAAAGAGCACACTGTTATATTCCTGCCGATCAGATTCCTCCAGAGAAGAGACCTACTTCAAACAGCGACAAACACATATCATGCCACTCGGTCACCTGATCCACCAGGGATCTTTGTATTAAAAATGAACTTTGCTCAAACCTCCCAAATATGGAATTTCCCACTGCTCTGGGACTAGTAGCTGCAAAACTATGAAACACAAATTAGTTCTAGCAGGAGGGACAATGTAATGGGAATAATTAATATTTACTGGGAAGGGAAATAAAAGTTGATGGTTTAAATGTGGGGAAGGCACAACAAGGATAGGCTGTTTTGTCTGAGTAGAAATCACGAGGGAGTTAAAGTTAAAAATAGTTTTTAAAAGAAATGTTGATTTTTACCCATTATCAGAAGAGTCAAGCCATTGAAGAGGGCTCCCACGTAAGTCAGCAGCCACATTAGTACTGCAAACTAAATTAAAGACGGATCATTACATCACCTCCAGTGTCAGCATAAGAAGAAATTAGTTCACTTAACTAGCTAGTATAATGGCACATTAGCCTTTTTTTAATGTGTAAGGAGACTTGTTAAGTAAGGCACATTAGGAACTAGGTACTTTTACTGGGTGTATAAACCCCATTCTCTGTTTTGCTGTTCATTGGTTCTCACCCTCTTAGCTGAGCTTTCATGTGTATTTAGGGCTTAATTGCATACATTTAGGACTCTGCATTGAGCATGGAATAGGCAGATTTCTGCATCCAGTTTTGATGATGGCAGGGGTCTTGCCACACAGGTTAATCACGGCCCCACAGTGATAATCCCAGTGACTGAAAACTCTTGAGGTTGGGAGATGGGTACGTTTTTCTAAAAATCTTCAGTAATTAGGAGCCTAACCCACATGTGCTCTCTTAATGGTCTTCCCTTTGCTCTGAAGAACACCTACTTGAGTGTAAGGCTGAAAATAAATAATTATCTCAGCAGGGAGGGAAAGAAGACCTTCCTCCATAGCAGGAAATGCCACCATTAGAGGAAATCCAGATTAACAGAGGTATTAGAGGGGAACACACCATTTTGTTGCAAATTCATAAAAAGCATAATGCAGAGATGCTTCTAGAACTGCAGCGGAGCTAAGCTGGTCCTGCAACTTTTATAACTCCTGTATTATAGATCAATACATTCAAATGCAGATTGCCAATCCTCTAAACTGCTGGAAGAAAGCAGTTTGGAAATCAAAAAAGAGAGCAACTTTTATATTCGGGGCTACACAAAACTAGGTTTTATGATGTCACTGTCAACATGGGAAGCAGAACTTTGAAATGTAGACTGATCCTCTAGAGAGGAGTCAAAAATATTTAAAGCAATCCTACTTTTAAAGAGTCCACGAGGTCCTGAACGAGAAAGAGTCTCCTCAGCTCTTTGACTGTGCTGTTGACGTATAGCTGGAGACAGTCTGTGTATTTCTGAATCTGGTCCTGTGAGAGATTCATTTCCATCTCCAAGTAGGCTCTGCCAGAAACATGGGTCCAGTTACAAGCCCAGGCAGGTTCACCTGCCGTTCATGCTCGTGCCTGTCTACCCCATCATTCCCTCCTCCCCAGACCTCATTCCTTTGTGCTGGCACAATATGTCCCCCCTTTCTGCAGGCACAGAGCCACCAGCACACACTGGCTTTGCCTTGCATGAGCCATCTCCCTGGGCAATTGCAGGCTGCACCAGGGCTGTTTGCCTCCCGCCTTGCCCTCTCCCCATGCAGAGCCTGGTCTTGATGGGATCTCTCTCTTTACTCCACCCGAAGGGGAAAGCGAATCGTAGCTGGGGGGGGGGGGTTTCCCCACAAACTTCTGTGCAACACTGCTGCTGCAGAAGGCGACATCTCCTCCAGCTGGCAGCCTCTGGAGGAACAAAAGCTGTTGTCTGGCCACATGTCACATTCGGCAGTGATGCCCCCTTCTCTCTCCTCCACCCCTCTGCCTGCCCTGCACCTCTCTCTGAGCTATGCCATATCATGAGTCGCATCTCAGAACTGATGCAAGTGAAACAGAAGGAGCAGCACCCCGACAAGACGTCTTTTCATTGTGTGTGCTTGCAAACCAGATCGGTTCCATGACCTGGTTTACCAACTTGTTGGCACAGCAGAGGAGAAAGGATCGCTGCTCTTGTAGAGCAAATCACCCAGACCCTGTGGAGGGTGGGGAGGGCACCGGCATTGGCACTAGCACCATCACCTAGGGTAATGGATTGCCACATCACAGCCAAGCAGCGCTGGAGAAAAGATACAAATAGTTTCCCTTTATGCCCAATGGAGTGTGCCTAGAAACAATACTCTTCTTGTTTGCAGAGATACTTTATTAGCATTAGCTCTAATGAAACTCTTTTGCTCTGTTTGCTTACAATTTTCTGGATCTTTTGAATTTCAGGAAAAAAATTCCCATGTCTCAGAGGATGATGGCTTTTGTGTTGTTCTTTTTTCCCACAGGATCTAAGCCAATACAACCTTACAGCTCTTGAGACACTGAACAACAAAAAAAATTATTTCCCCTGTTACAAGCAAGAAAATAATTTTATCCAGTACAAAAGCAGCAACTAAAGAAACATGGATTGCCACTGGGAATGGATCCTTTGCAAGATAAACGGCCCCTGGCCGTGACTGCAAAGCACTCACTTGAAGGGGTGGCCCTCATCCGTCTTCTGCACGGCCTGTAGGACTGATTTGTAGATTCTGAAGCTAATGGTGGCCGAGAGGCCAGCAAGGGCCAGGTAGGCCACGACACTGACGACGCTGAACTGGGTCAGGGAGAAGAGCAGCAACAGGAGGCTGCCGAACACGATCCCTGTCTGCTTGATGTCACGCCAGTACAACAGGTCGATAGCTGGGGAGAGAAGATCAACATGTTAAAGGCAGGAGCTGGAAGGGCATTGGGGTCGGCCACCAAGGCCACTGTGATGCTTAGAGTCCTTGCAGGAGGGTAAAGGGAGGAGTGATGCTCCTGCTCACATCAGCATTGACAGGAACTCCTCAGCAGAAGCAGTGAAGTGACTTCAGCAATGCACTGAACAAATGACAACCGATGACCTACTGGAACTCCTTGTATTTCATGTGTCTGTGTCTGGGTTAGATAAGATGGATGAATATCTCCAACTGCAGCACGGTGGGTCTCTTGCAGCAGCAAGGAAAAGGTAAACTTTGGTTTGTGTTGTTGCTAGGGTTGTATTGCAAGTTTTCACCCTAGCTTGCATTTACTTACTCTGGAAACCCTGGGGTGTTTTTTTGTCACAAGTCCAAATGCCAAATGCTTGATCAAAGCATTTTCATGTTTGGGTTGTTAAGAAATGAATGAGAAAGTTTGGGGTTAGCCACAATAAACCACTTACCCATGCAAAGTTTTGACAATATGATTTTCTTATTTCCTAAATTTTGAGAAACAAAAAGACTCCTGGTTTTACCACTGCTTAATAGTTACATGGGTACAAAACCATTTTTCAGATGGGACCTTAATATATAGAATAAATCCCTTTTGCTACTGAAAATCCAACCATCTCAGAAATATTAGAAAGAAACTTTCTACTTGTTAGATAACTTTCCTTGTCTAGATCCATGGGAGGTGTTAATTAGAAGAAAGCAACTGCAGAAACCCATTTTCAACCAGTATATTTTTACAATCGTAATGGAGTTAATTTTTACAGTGTTTTTCACCCAGTTTGTACAGTTTATTCCAATGCCTCCAGCAAACAATCTTAGCATCTGGAATAGTCACTATAAAAGCAAAATTTTGTGAACCAATTGCTGAATATCCAGTCCACAAAGGTGAAATTAATTTCTTTACACCGATAACCTGTTTCCAAGAGGACTCTTCATCCAGCCAAAGAACATGTTCATGACAATCTAAACAAAACAGCTTTAATTGCACACACTGCACGAGTCCTCATGAACAGCTTGAACACACCACCAGCCAAACAGATTTCATAGATGGCACTTGTCAAATCATTCTGAACAAAGAGTAAATTCAGGAAAACTGCAATCTGTCAAAAAAAAAAATCACAAATACAAAAAGAAACAAAATTAATCCAGCCTAGTAGTTCTTATAATCTAATCTCCAAAAACTGTGAGTCACCACAGCATGTTTGTCTTGAGTCAATGAGCTATATTACTCATTACTATTACACATATTAGCATTGCTTTTCAAAGTGATGGGCTTGAATGCAAAAATTGCTATTGTATTACTGATCCCTTTTCTCTTCGTGCAACATTCACATCCTACTACATTCTCCATGAATATACACAATATAATAACTCTTTCATATTTTTAAGTGTCAGCATTCAGCACTGGACCTGTGATCATGAGCACACCTGAATAGATCTATGGACTGCATGAAAGCCAAGGGATGGGGATCTTGGTGGTGCATGCTGGGGTCCTGGGTGCTGAATTTACAAAGCAGGACCAGGCCAGAGTCTTTCCAGATATTTATGCCCAGGTATCCTTCCTGCAGAAACCCAGGGGCATGGATTAGGGAATGCTCCAAAATGCAGTTACAACATAGTCAGAGCATGCACCTATGTTGGGGAGTTTAGCAGAAGACCCAGCTGTACTGATGTAGGCAGCTGGAGCTCCACTGATTGCTCACAGTTTTAAGGTGCTGGAGTATGCAACTTGCAAACCACCCTTACCAAGTGGCATCCAGACCATAAGTGTGCAGGCTTTACCATTTTTCATACTCTTTTTCAGTCAAGGCACTGCAAAAATTCTGCAGCACAGCACAGCAACTGGTATGCTTTCACCAGCAAGCATTTGGACAGGAGGTATTATTTTTTATGCTAAAAAATTCCTGTCAAGGGCCCGTATTGGAAATTTATGCAAATCTCACTTTCTGAGATACTAAATTTTCTATCACACAATACCTTCATGTTAAATGAAATGAACACAGGTGAGCTAGCTCAGGACGCTGTATGTGGAACATTATCTGCTGATGAAAGAAAAATGCCACGCACTAGCAGAAAATACTGCCTGGGGACATAGGCAGTAGACAGGCAAACAAATGAGAGCTAAGCCAAAAAATACAAAAGCCCTCTTCAGTAGAGTGCCCCAAGTTAATGCCAATGGACGATAAGACCCAAAATGAGCAACTAAACCCTCTCTCTCTTTCTTTCTAGGATCTTCTGCCTCATATTCCTGCAGACTGGAAGTGGGCTGTATTGTCACACAGAGAGATGCCAAACTGCACTTTCTCATTCCCCTCAACAAGGAAGATGCTGAATGACTTAAGACAGACTTGACCAGGTGTGTGTATATCCTGAAGCCTGCCCCTTTCTGCCATGAAATGATTGGGATATTTACAAAGCTGTATCAGGTAAGGAAAGACTTGCCACAACTCAGAGCACAACGGACAGAGGCCAAATGACACAGTCCTGGGGATATGTGCATGTGCGAGAGAGGAGATGAAAAGGCAGCTGGCCTGTTTCACCAGCCAAATGAGACTTGGGAGAAAGAGATTCTGTGTCTTTTATACCTGAGGCAAATATTCCCAGGTGCGTGGAAAAAATATGTGCCAACTGCTGGGTGGAAAATCTCAGCACAGACAAGGGAGATATGAGTTGAATGATTTTTATGTGGGTGTCCCAATGCACAGGTCCAGCCTGGGGACACGCACAAGCCCCTACCCACAGCCTGCAGTAGGTCAGTTAGGATTTTCAAGGGCAGGAACCAAATCTGCCTTCTCGTCTCCCTCGCAGGGACAGGGAGCTGCGGCACTGCTGCTGTGTCCAGCTGTTCGGGCGGGATTTGCCGCCTCCACAGCCATTCCTACTCCTCTCCCTTAGGGAGAAGGGAGTGAGCCAAACCGCATTGCAAAAAGGGAGTGCAGGAGGTATTGAACCTCACAGCTCCTTGGGCATGGAAGGGGGAGAAGCAGTGTTCAGTGCTAGAAATCAGTGGAGACTTGTGGGGTCCAGACATGGACCATAGACTTCCCTGGAGAAAGCAACTTTTTGCAAACAGGCCTCAGGGGTTTGAGCTGTATCAGTTCCCCTGGCATTTAAATGCTGCTGAAAATACCTGAGCTACATGTCAGAGCCATGTTTGATCCTTCACCTGCAGCTTCAGTCACATCAAAGGCTTTTTACATTATTTTTGTCCTACATTCCTTACATAAACAAACCTCCCTTAAAAGCAGTCAGAGAACTAAGCTCATAGAGACAAATAATCAGCAGGATAATATC